ATATACCCTCTGTATCGTTTTCTACAATATTACCTCCGTATCGTTTTCTACAATATTACCTCTGTATCGTTTTCTACAATATTACCTCTGTATCGTTTTCTACAATATTACCTCTGTATCGTTTTCTACAATATTACCTCTGTATTGTTTTCTACAATATTACCTCTGTATTGTTTTCTACAATATTACCTCTATATCGTTTTCTACAATATTCCCTCTGTATCGTTTTCTTTAATATACCCTCTGTATCGTTTTCTACAATATTACCTCTGTATCATTTTCTACAATATTACCTCTGTATCATTTTCTACGATATTACCTCTGTATCATTTCAGGAGTTAGATCCACTTCCGCTTTGCTGACAGTCAGAGTGAAGTTAGCTCCCTTGGACACCTTGTAACCAACTTCTTTTCTGCAAAATAAAATATTGGTGATAAAAATAACAGTTTTCAGAGCATTTCTTTATTTGTTTTGGGTTTTTCTTTCTTTCAAACATATACGAGCATGTACCTTCAATTTTTACTTTATTCTTAGCTATAAAATACTTGCCATAAAAAAATCCTGAATTTATCAATAAATGTTGAAATTATAACTTTTTATTATAACAAATTCTTGTCAAAGTTGCATGCTCCACCATGAGCACAGCTGATACTAACACTTCTGTGATTAGTTTCCTTTTCTTGAAGTCAGATTTCTGGTTTTCTGGGACACTTTTTGAGTCATTAGCTGCAAACTTCAACATGCATTCCTGCACTGTGTCTTTAATGCATTCACTCTGTAATTAAATAAAGGCATAGTATCCTGTTAAAATTATTCACTTATATTTCAACTTAATAAAAAAAACTTTAAATTCAAATATTATTTTTGATGGACATGACAATATGTCTCAGGAAGAATCTCACTAATAAGAGGAATGATTATTAAATATTAGATATGACTTGTTGCCATTGTTTACAGGAGAGCATTTCCTACTGTCATCTTCCGATGAAGTCCACTTTATATATACATATCCCTCATAATTCATAATTTGTATGATTTGTTTCTATTTTGAACCAATTTGAAAAAAAAAAGGTTACATTCAAATTGTAGACATTTTATGAAACTAGCATGCAAAATTGAGATTTAAATTAAAAAAATGTTGCTTTCCATTTGTTTAGATTTTGTTGGTGCAGCTCTTTTACTTTGGAATCTACTACAGACTGACCTTTCTGAAAACCTTTGGTCCACCCTCACATGATTTATCCATGGAAATCCAACCAGCCTGCATAGCTTTGCTGAATCCTATCTTGGCATTAGGTATATTTTTCTGCAATATTCAAACATTTCTGTGAATTAACACACATTGTCCTTATCTGTGTAAGAGTCAGACTTGTCCTAAAAATAACCATCTAATTATTTAACAATATGACTATGATATAAGCCTGGTGTACTGATACTGCTACTCACTCACTTGTCCATAAGGGAAAGGACTGGGAAAATGAGGGATACAATATTAAGAATTGAGAATTTAAGAGTTTCAACACTAGGGAGCAAAAATATGAGGGTGCAATGATGCAAAGACGAAGGAGTGAAAATGTGAGGACAAAGGGACAACAATGTAAAGATGGAGTGAAAATGTGAGGACAAGAGGACAGCAATGCAAAGATGAAGGACTGGAAATGTGAGGACAAGGGAGCAATGATGCAAAGATGAAGGAGTGAAAAAGTGAGGACAAGAGGGCAACAATGCAAAGATAAAGGAGTGAAAATGTGAGGACAACAATGCAAAGATGAAGGACTGAAAATGTGAAGACAATAGGGCAACAATGCAAAAATTAAGAAGTATGAAAATGTGAGGAATAGCGAGCAACAATGCAAAGATGAAGGACTGAAAATGTTAGGAGAATAGGGTACCAATGCAAAGATAAAGAAGTATGAAAATGTGAGGACAAGAGGGCAACAATGCACAGATGAAGGACTGTAAATATGAGAACAAGGGAGCAATAATGCAAAGATGAAGGAGTGGAAATGCAGGACAAGGGAGAAACAATGCAATCATGAGGATGTAAAAATGAAAGGACAAGGGAGCAACAATGTAACAGTGATTCTTTATATCTGTACTCTCACAGCCTAGTGTCTTGTTCCCTGTGTTGCCCTTACAATCTCCCTCTGTGTGTCATCCTTACATTCTCATTATCTCTCCATTCCTTTGCTTCCTTTTGCTTCCTCATCTTATGCCCCTAAATTCTTGCTCTCTCACCCAAAGACAAGGAAGTGAGGAAAGTAGAGATCATTTCATTACAACCATTACAAATATGCTACAGCAAAATAAATTGGACAGTATTACCAGGGACCTATATATTAACGGGATAGGCAACTCCCGCAAGTCTCGCGATATCTCGTAAGTTGCGGGATTTCGTAAGTCAATTTTAATTAAATATATCTCTTTTTCTATCAAATATTTCAGAATAAAGTCTTAATTTATCTATCAAAAATTTATTCAAGATTCGTTATTAGCACTGTTTTTACTCCTTATCTTAGTAGTAAGTACGTTTATTTAAAAATCAATGCATGCCCCTGATCGGCCGTATTTCCGAGAAATCGCCGATTTCGGTGGTTGTTTACTTAATATCTGAATTGTTTTATAATATGTGCTTTAAAATTTATTAAATATCCATTCCGATACACAATAAGAACATAGTACATTAATCAGAAAATAAGCTTTTTACTGGGGAAAAACGTAGTTTGAAAAACTTTCAGTGTTGTGCGTGCCGTTTTGGGTAAATAAACATGGCGCTGAAGGAGTTGCCTATCCCGTTAGTATATAGGTCCCTGGTATTACTGGGTTGAGCATTTCTATGACTCTTTCACAGAAAAGTGAAATCTATTTTTACTCATTGTTAGACATCCAAAGGTTTTTAAGTATTTTTGACAATTGATGCAATAGGTTTACTAAAAGCAAGGGTCAGTTAAATTCCCAGTTGAATTAAATCAACAAATTATCATTATTCATCTTTAGCTTAAAATGCCTGAATCAAGATGCTCTTGATATTCAGAAAATAATAACATCATATGTGGATACTAATTATCTCTGCATTTCAAAGAAATTTTTTAAAAAATACTGATTTGTAGATGAAGATTGTAATGGCGAAAATAATTAATTTATTATTTTTGATTACTAAAAATGGTTAATTAAACTGCAAGGGAAAAAATGCATTGAACTATATCAGTTTGGTCTAAAATATATAGATATATTTAACCACTGTTAAAGTCCAAATTAAATCCACTTAAAAGATGACCTATTTAATTACTGAACCAGGAAGAAGAAACAAAAACAACTTTATTTTCTGTACCACCCAGTAAATTCTGCATTAAAAAAACAAACACTCACTATTTAATTATAATACTTAACTTTCAAATATATAATCATCATATTTTACAAAAACTTACTATGAGCTGCAACTTAATAATATTAAAAAAAAAGTGAAAAATTCATAGTTTTTGTTGAAATTTACATACAAAGGAGAATAACTTCTCAAATATTACATACCATAATTTCAGCTTGGGTAATGCCTTCAGATGGCACAGCATTGTATACCCTGGCTTCGTAGCTTCCATTTGCAGCTACATCTTTGCCTTCATCTGTTAATTCCCAGTGTTTAGTAGAATACTGCTCAACTTTGACAACCTAGAAAAAAATCTGACAAATAAATTCATGAAACATAATTATGCATTGGATAAATATATTAAACAGAATATAAAAAGATCATGATGAATGGAATACATTAATTATATGCACATATTCTATATTTTACAAATTGCAATGTACAACAGATGTGACTTGCACATCAGTGAAAGTGAGTTCCAGGTTTCACCAGTGGTACAAATTTGGGTAATTTTTCTGACACAGTGGCAAAACCAATTTTATTTACCATACTATTTCTTCTCAGAGAGGAAAACAGTGATAAGCATGGAAAACTTGTGAAAATATAAAGTCAACAAACATACCAGATTAATTCTGAAGTTATGTCACACTAACAAGAGAGTCCTCAATTTTTCTTTACATAAAAGAATTGTTTAGTGTAAATTACATACCCAGTAATTTGAAAGTTAAACCATGTTAAAGATATATGCCAATTTTCCTCTTTAACACAGCTATATATGATAACTGAAAAGATTTTACATAACAGTTCAGTGGTACACTGTATATTGGCTTAAAATTTAATTCTTTTTAAGATGCTTTATGTCTGAATGATCAAAGTCCTTTCCATATCAAGGTAATACAGCATTCCGTAAATGACAGACAGGCATGGTGTTGTCCGAAGTTCCATACCATAAATATAGCATAAAAGAGAATTGCTACTAAACAGTGAATAAAATCATGCCAAATACAATGACACAATTGAAACAATTGGGGCATTTGATGACATTTAAACACTCTAAAGTTTGTTGTTTGAGTTAGTGACCTGTATAAGAAATGAAAGTAAACTATTATAAAAAAAAAAACACTGTTGACCAACAGTTATAATTGACAGAAAATGTAACTAACTGTGAATCTTGATAAAATTAAGAAAGATTGCAGATAATGAAGCATGCATGGAAACACATTAACGTGGTCGAATTCGAATTTCCTCTAAAATAATTTAAACAAGAAAAATCGTACAACCCGAACAACAATGTTATGTCAATTATAACTTATGTATTCTTTAATCACAATCTATGCAACATATTAATATATTAAAAGACAAGTGAATATTAATGGTGATACTGTATCATATCACTTATGGGCATGTATGGGTGTCATGTTGCATCATGATCATTATCGGCATATAATGTTAGAAAATCTTACATCACCAAGAGACTGCAGACTCTTTACTGCACCGACAATCTTTTGATGATCTTCTTTAATAGAGTTCGCAAGATGTAACGTGTCTATCTCGCCCTGTTTGTCGACTTCTGTCAGCACAACCTGTGACAAGTCGGCCATGCTGTATTGTTGTGAAAATTCGATCGGGTGTGGGATTCAATCAAAAGTGCATAGCAGGACAGAAGATGGCTTCAGCTAGACTTCTGTGTGTTGTTAGGCAAGACTTCTACCAGCCAATGCAAAGTTTAATATCAAGAAACCTATTCCGAAAGCAACAAGTAAGTATATTGATGACCTTTGAATTAGTTTATATTGATGAACTTTTGTTTTATTGTACGGAAAGTAAACTTATTGTCATTGCAAAATCCATTAGTACAAACACCTGTAATGCCCTCAATGGGCGTGGGTGGATATAAGGTATCATATCACACATGGTAATTTTAAGTCATATGTATGTCACTGAAAAGTTCGGACATTGCGTGATCGGAATAATTTCATGTGATTTTTTGGATGTATTTATGTCAGGTGTTCTGCGATCCCCATCATCACCATCATTCTGTTATCTGCAAAAAACCTTCAAGTTCTTAAGAGTTAGAATACTTTGTCTATGAGTTATAAAAAAAATAAGGACTCAGATAATACCAGTATGTTCACAGATGAAGAAAAAGTTTTAAGCCTTATAAACCATTTTGTAATTGTTTAAAAAAAAATTCAAAAGCTGTCATTATTGGTTCCTGTATAGTTATGTAACAGCTCAAACTCATATACATATATGTACAGTATTAATTTTAATCTTGGTCTTCCTTGCAATACCATCAAATGCCATTAACATTTAAGTTGCATAAGTTAAGAGTATTTACAAATACTAGAATATTTGATGTGATTTTGATTTGTTTGAAATCTAAATTCATCCTAATGACTGTAGGCTTTAAAGATTAGAATTAAGTTACATTCATGTAAATAATTGGTATTTTTGAAATATGGGAGTGATACTGGTGCTCATGTTTTTTTTTCTAATGTTCCTTTAAACTAGGATGAGTAAGTCAATTCTTTAGCTTTATAGTGGTAGAATATCAGTCTTATAATTCAGAATGGAGTCTACCCTTACTGTTATAGGATTTTTAAGTATGATTTTGATAAGTTTGTACTTTTACAGAAGATAAGAAATAGTTTATTTGTAATATGGAAGACTATGGATAAAAGGAAGAAGTGAAAAAAGAAGAGTATTTATAAATTATCAGCATGATCAAAAATAAAACTACCAGTATTACTATATGAATATTTAATGTAAATAGCAATTTGGAAGTTGATATAGTGTGCTCTTGATTCATTATTAAATCAAATTTGATGAGAAAGATGCTTTTTATCTCGCTTTCCATTTGAAAGTGAAATTATATCAAAGTGTGGAGCGCTATACGTGAAAATTCTTTTTTTGATTAGAATGAAATGAGAAGGCATTAGATTCCTGTAAAACTCTAGTATTAATACTCATTCTAGTTACTAGTATCATTTTAATCTGTACAAAGACAAATTATTCTCAACATCAAGGTACATCAAGCTAAATGATGTAGTGAGATAATTAGGATCAGCAGTAATACTGAAAATCTTAACTGAATACACATTAAACATGTATAATTTCTCTCAGGGTTTTCAAATTCATGCACATTTAAATTGCCAAGTTTTTTGTTTGTCAGGTATACAGATATAAATGTTAATATTATCCTTTATACTTCTGTTGTTCTCTTTGATCCATATTTTATACTCAGAAGTGCTGTAATGTATTGTTAAAATGTTTTTCATTGTAGTTTGAGCAATATTTGTATTAAGACATGTTAGAAACATTTAAAATTTTTGTTTGTATAATGGGATCGTCTGTTTAGGTCATTATATTTTAGCAATCCTTCAGGTTCTTAGAGCCTTGATATGTCATGCAGGAGTAAAGTGCATTAGTGCATTAGTTAATAGAGATTTTTTTCCATTTTCTCCTAGATTACTAGCGATAAAACACTTACTGGGGCATAGTAATATTTATTAAGAGCTATTATAAAAAATGTCACCATGACACTTTAGAAATAATCTGGGTGTAATAGATTCCTCATCTGCAAGCAATGTTGAATTTATCAACCATCAAGTATTATTAAAAAAATGGACATTTCATCTTTTGTGTTTTCAAATCATATTGATGTTCTCTCTGATGAAAACTAGAAAATATTCTAATTATGCCTCCTAGCTAGTCTGAAAACTAGCTGTGCATATATTTTAAAGGATGTGTGGATATCTTACGTTTGTAAACCAGGAACATTCACTAGACAGACCTCCTACACCGCCCACTATAAACACTCGTGATTTAAATTTGCCCATCCATGTCTTAAGCATACACAAACTCTGGAATCTATTCATATGACGCAAACTGTTATTCAATCAGTAGAGTGCCTTTCATATCTACTTTCATTGCACACAGAAAAAGGGGTTGAAATACAAATGAGTTTGCATAAATGTAATACACAATTTTTTTGTGTCTCTCTGTCTGTTGAAATGTGTGGATATATAATGACATTCTATAATTCTGGTGTTAATTATACTGGGGTTGTGACAAGAATGTGTAAGAGCAACCTATAACAGCTCTGTAGTTTATTTATTAATAACATGCAACATTCATGGATCTGGCTCTCCCATATACTTGATGCTTCTGTCCAATATGTATAATGTAAACATTATATATATAAACAATGAATGGGAATAAGTCTATTATTGATCAGAATGCACAAAGGTTTTCATTATTGATTCATAGTGTTAACAGAGAGACAGTATTAATATACATATGAAAAAGATCTTTCTAGCATGGAGTTGCAGTTATCTCAATAATGAATAATGTGATGTTTTCTATTACTGTCTACATGATTTACTGGTATAGATGTATCTTCTTGTTTTTCAGATTAAAGCCCTAGTATGTCCATGTAGTTTTTATACCTCACAAACCAAAGGTAATTATCTTCAACATTTAATTAAAGCATTTTTGTAAATTTTCCTGTTCCTACCATATTGATATCCCCCGGCCTGCATTCTGTGAAAGTTTTTTTTTTTTTAAACAATTTTTGATCTCCTTTTTATTTGAAATATTGATGACAAATTTATTTTCTCATTAAATTTTAATTTCTGTGACATTTCCATGGTATTCATGGCTGATCAATTATACATACAGATTGGAATTACAAAACACCATATCCAGAGGAGCTAGTTCACTGTATAATAATAGAACATACTATTGGGTTATAGAATCCCATGGGTTACGCAAGCTTTCATTAAGAAAGCTGTTGATTGAATAGTATTTTCCCTATTTCATTAGTTTAAATATCATATCACTTTCATGCAAAAATAAAGAGAGCTACTATTGTAGATTTTACCAGAAAGATAATGATTTTTAGACTAGAACGTACTAAAGAGCCCTCGTTTTCCATTGAATATCTCTTGATATTTTATTTTCTTGTTTATGTGGTTTTAATGGTTCCATTTTTGCCATTAAAAAGCCATAACCAAAAATATTCCTTGCAGATATTATTTGGGTGATTCAGATTGAGTAACACCTTAAAAGTGCAAGTGATAATCTTAAAATCGGTAAAATAATTTTGCATTGCAATGTTATCAAGGATCAGACAGATTTGAATGCACTTAGTGTCAATTAAGTGAATATTCACACTTCCTAAATTTTCATATTGAATTCCTTCATTTGAATACATGTAGGTTACCTTAACAAACAAACATTTATATAAATTTCAATGACTTGTGGAAACAAACATAAAGAATGGACTTGTTCGACATACAGGAAAGTATTCCTGAATTTAACATATCTCACCTACACAAACTGAAGGCAAAATCAAACAGGCAAACATTTAGAATGGGAATGTGAAAGAACTGTGAAAATAGACCTACATTGTGTTAAGAGCATTACAGGCAAAAAAATATACTCATTGATATAGCTTGCTAAAGAATAGGCCATTTTAATAAGTCTGTTCCTGTGGTTGTAATTATAGTTTTATCAACTGGTTTGTAATTCAAAGCTAGAGATAAAAGGCTTAAACTGAAGTCTCCAGGGGCCTGGTGTTTTTGTCTTTTATGATGGTTAGAATATTGCAGACAACATATTTGGTGATAATTATGTAGTTTGGTGCCTTTGAACTTGGGGTGGGAATATCATTTCCATACTTGTTATATAGTGTAAGCTGACTCTGTGTCATTTTTTTATTACAAATCGATTGTGGAAAAATCCTTAAATGATAGTTATCAGAGAGAGAGAGAGAGAGAGAGGTAATATATTTGTTTGTATTATGTAACACATTAACATTAAAGAAGACTGATCCCACTGCAGCATCATACAAAATGTAATAAAAGTAGCAATACATGTATGTAATGATAATGTTTTGTTTTTTTGGTCAGTACTGTCATAATTTCTTTCTTCTCTGATAATGTGATTTATTTCCCATTTAGCCTGACTTTTCCTGACATTTAGGTCCATGACTAATATGAACTGACAAAGGCCAGGCACTTAATTTTGCGCAAAAGATTATCTATATTCTTTCAACTTGCCATATTTAATTTAAATCATATGATCTGTTAAAGGCACAATGCATACATGTTGAGGAAGCTATAATTTGCCCTGGATCTTGTGCACATACATGTATAGTGCATTTGTATAAGTTTTAATTTTGGCCATGTCTGGAACTCTTTGAGTGAATTTTCACTGCATGTACTTCAGTGTCCATCTATAGAAGAGCTGAAAACTAAGTGATGGGAAAGGGTCATCTGATAGCTGGGTAATGAGGAACTGTAAATGACAGACCAGATCTTTATGCTAGCCAATAATTCCTTCTGCAGCCTCGCCTCTGGCTGTAGTTACATAGGGTTAACATTATCATGTCTGTCAATTTAATATTGATATGCTAGACTTCCGATGAACTCTTATCATTCAGATTTTTATACCCAAAGGAGCAAATGTAGTCTAGGTACTTGTATTTCTGTTTAGCTTCAATAAATATTTATTAAAGTATTATATTTGTTAGCTTTAATAAATCTTGTACAGTGTGTTTTCCAGCAAAAGTTAATGCTGAAATAATTCTTTATAAAGTAGTCTCTTTTGATCTCTATACACTAGTCATTTACTATATAATATATTTTCATTTTAAAGTTTTCAAATTTTTATAACTTCTGTTTTAAGTCTATATATAGTTATCCTGTTATTCTCATTAGCTGAAACTGAGTTTGTAATTGAGCTCCCAAACCGTATTTCCTCTATCAGCAGATACTCCACAACTGTTTCCCAAATTTATTAATATAATGCTTTATTCTTGACTGTTTATAGTATTTTGTGACTCTCTTGGACGGATGAGTTACTCAATATACTTTGTACATTCAGATCTGACCTATCTTTAAAGAACTTCATCTTACCAGACTGATTGTGAATCAGTATGGATCATATTACCGTGTTTGATCTTTCTCTAACTGATGGTCTCTTGGTAGCAATAGGTCATTTAACATATATTGAGCAATTCAATGATCATTTAACAGTGCAGAAATATTACTGAAAGAATATCTTTATATCCTTTAGATCTTGAAGATGACATAACATTTCAGTGAAGTATGTGTACTTGACATGATAACAATATATCTTACTTGTTAGATGCCCTTCATGATTAGATTTATATGATTTTAACAGTTATAATCCCTCTATGATTTATTGAGAGAGAGAGAGGAGGATGATCATGATGTTTGTGATGTAGGACACTGGGAACATTTTTATATATTTACAGATATTATAAGCATTGGAGGAACAATTTGTTGGTGAAACTATTATATTTAAATTTGATTTATTGGACTTTATCTATGAAGTAGTTCTACCTTTAAAAGAATATCAAAACCTGAGTCTGATATTGAAAAATGTGAAATTTTTTGAATGCAGTATCTCCACGTCAGGATAGAATTTACTTACCATAATCAAAGACTTAATTGTAAGTTGTATGTGTACTTAGTATTTGAAATAATGCTTGCATTTACAGTCAAACATTGGTAATGTTTCCCTGTAGATTCTGCCAAACCAATATTACCATCAGATGTTTGATTGATGTACTAGCATCATTCTTATGAATATTCATAGATTATTAAAATTTTCATGAGACAGCCTTTCACTTTATTAAGATAACAAAGATAAGACAAATCATTTTTTTTTAATTCCTTGTGGATGTTCTCCATTTCCATTTGCTTTGTAAATCATCAACTTTCCTCCTCTAAACATGTTTAAAAGAATTGTTATTGGAAACAGGCTGAATTTGTATTGCAGTGGAAAGATTGATTGAGTAAACCCAGAGGAGAAATAAAGTAGTATTCTAGGCAAATATTGTTACATCCTTCATAATAACTGTAGACTTTTTTTATATGGATAGGAATTTGATCTTAGTCTCTTATGAAATGTTCATGAAGACAAATCACATTGCTTGAAGTTAGCCCTTCATGACTAAGATACATGCATTTATGGGAATTCAAATTGGCATTAAGAACATGCATCTTTAAGACATTTTTAGTCCCCTACCAGTGAAACCGGAGGGGACTATAGGTTTTCCTCTGAGTCTGCCCATCCGTCTGTCTGTCTGTCCATCTGTCTGTCTGTCCCTCTGTCAGTCTATCCCACTTGGTTTTCCGCACTTTTTTCTAAACACTTGCAGATATTGAGCTGATTTTTGGTATGTGAGTGTATCTTGATGAGTTACAGATCAAGTTTGCATTTCATTCTGTTTCAATGATTTTTGACGGAATTACGACCTTTTCAATTTTTCAGGGTTTTCTGCAATTTTTTTCTAAACGCTTGCAGATATTGAGCTGATTTTTGGCATGTGACTTAACCTTGATGAGTTATAGATCAAGTTTGCATCTCATTCCGCTTCATTGATTTTTGACGGATTTATGTCATTTTCAATTTTTAGCGGGAACCAGATTGCACTTGCCGGTAGGGGACTAGTATTGCTAATGCAATACTCTCAGAATGCTTGTTAATTTTGGTTTGGTTTGGCTTGTTTGATTCAGAGAAGCAAATTTCAAGAGCAGAACACATTGCACAATGTTATGTTTAAGTAACATGGAACTTATCAACTTATGTAAAAGTCAATTTTTCCTATTTACTATATTAAACTATATCAAATTTACTGTGTATAATATTTGGTGGAACTAGGTTTTTTATCAAGTTCATGTAGATTTGATTTAGTGCATTTCTGAATGTAAGTATTAATATACATCACATAATTTATTTTTTAGCGATCTAGTTGATTTATCAGAAGTTGCTTTCCGCCAAAGGTGCTCAATAGAATGAACAGTCAAATTTACAGCTGCAAATGCAATACATTTACAATATATTGTAGTGATGGGTTAAGCTGTTTAGGGTATGTGTTTTTTTCTATTTTCATGGACACAGTTCCTTTTTGTTTTTCAGATTTTTCAGAAGCGAGAGTAGAAGTCAGAAATGGCTTGTCCGTGTTTACAGTGCCTTTACCCTCCAGGAGGGAGAATTGTGAATTCACACTCAAACCAGTCTCCCAGACAGTGGGGGATCTCCTCACCTATATGAAGCAGGAGGACGGAGGCATTGATAGGGCAGCTGTATACAGTGATGGTAAGTGGGAATAAAAAAGTTCAACATCAGTAGGAGAAGAGAAAATTCTACTTTAACAGAAGGGAGGGATATTCCAACATAGCAAAGGATTGGAAATTCCTACATAGCAGAAGAAAGGGAAATTTTCAGTTATCAGAAGGAAAGGAATTTTTACTCATGGAAAAGGGAAGAAAATTCCATCCTTAGCTTCAGGAAGGGAAATTCTTCATTAGCAGAAGGGAGGGAATTTTTACCCTAGAAGAAGGGAATGAAATTCCACCCCTTGCAAAAAAGGGGAAATTCCCCATATGCACAATGGAGGAAATTCCAACTTATTAAAAGAATGCAAATTTTAACACCAGCAGAAGGGAGGGAGGTAAATTCTACCATCGTAGAAGCGTGAGCTTCCCCACCTACAAAAGTAATGGAAATTCCATAACATCAGAAGGGAAGTTCCTAGATGGAATGTTCTATCATTAAAATTATACTGTCCTATGGACCCAGTTTAACGAGAGAATTCGTCCTGTGTATTGGCAAATGTAACTTTGCAAAGGGAGGAAATTTCCATCCCAGCAGATAGGAGGGAAATTTCATCCCAGCAGAAAGGGGGGGGGGGTCACCCTTACATATAGCAGAAGGGAGAAAAATTCAAACCTATTGTCATTTGTACTATGTTAGGAAGCAAGTTCTTATTTATATACTTTGAAGTGTCTGAGTTACCATACAGACACAGATAGGATTTATTCCCAAAGTAACAAATCAGTGTTGTTTCTAATTCATTAATTTGTCCAGCATATTTTCATTTGTATGTACAGAGCTACAAATATCTGTAGTACCTTTAAATCAAAAATAAGGATCATGAACAACCTATAAAATTAAACAACCAACTTCCCTGATAAAGCATTTTTTTTTTAGACTTTCATAATTAAGAACAGCTAGTGGATATATCTAAAGATAGTAGTATCAGCATGACCAAAGTATTTGTACAGGATAATTACATCAAACACAGTGTCAAGTAATTTCCTTCCTTCCTTCAAGTGTCTAATATAATATTTACAAACTTATATGTAGTATATTCTGTGTGTTAGATATGTGACTGTAAATAATAATACATGTACATGCCAAACAAACTCTAACAGGGGCTCTCAGTCTCAGTCACTGGAAGGAAAATTATAAATTTTTAACTTCTGAACAGGAAAAAAAAATGTTAGAAGTCCATTGTTGATGAAAGAGAAAAAAAAAAATGTAAGAAGTCCATTGTTGATGAAAGAGAAAAAAAATGTATGAGCCATAAGCTTGAGGTACATTTGCATGTGAGATATCTCATAGAATATTTGTTTTTGGAAATAATAGACACTTAGTTGACAGTTAACTAAAGGTTGTTTGGATTCTTGTTGAAGATAAAATTTTAAAGTGTAGCTGTTGTTACATTTTCTACATGGTAAAACATACTCAGCAATCGATCAGCACAATTCTTAACATTTCTAAAGATAGTATAATTGATTTTAGCAAACTAAAAGAATTTAAAAATTATACAAAAATGTCCTTTTGAGCTCACCTGAGTCTTAAGCTTTTCTGCAGGTATAGCAAATTTATTAAAAAAAAAAAGAATACTAGTGCCTTACTAAATTATATTCATATACAAACATTCCCAAGTTGTGTGGATTTAATTTTTGTTTCAATTATAGACCTAGGGATTAGGGTAGGGTAAAATTGGGGATCATGTTTTATAGAATGCATGGTGTAACAAGAAAAAAAATCTTTAAAAAAATCTTTTCCAAAACAGCAAAGTCATGTAAGTAATATTGATATTAAAACATCCCCAGGATATTAGAATTTAAGTTGGTTAATATGTCATGATCCTTTGGGCTGTGATGGCGCCACAATATGGTGACAGAATTTTTCATGAGAATAAAGAGATTTTTTTTTTTAATCTTCTTATGAAGAACACAAGGGCTGTGGTGACGGGGGTGAGCCTTGTGGCCCATGGACCTCTTCTTATAATTTTGTCCTTGAAGGTCAAACATTGACATCTTCATAGACTGTTCATTTTTAGTTATGCAATTCCTTTTAAAATGTGTCTTGCTTTTAAAAATGCTGAAAAAAGAAACTCAAGAATATTGTTTAAATAAGAATGAGTGTCATTGTAAGTATTTTTTTTAGTCATATTATTTTTTTTATTTACAGATGGTGTCAGGATATCTCGATCCACAACCATAGATGTTTTGCTAAGGAACAGCTTTAAACTTGTGATAAATAGCACAGAGTATGACATAAAGGCTCCTGAAGGATTTGGTAAGATCTGCTAAGAATCTCCTATCACGGTTTGTTTACAGGCATTAACCAAAAAAAAAAATAATGAGCTAAAATGGTTCATGTTCTGATTTGACATATATGTACATTGCGTAGAAATATATGTGATATAAACATCATATTATTAACTGTTATATTCCATGTTGTGTTGTACAGCATGATACTTGATTTATACGAATAAAAATGTGCAGTGTTGGTGAATTTTGGAATCAAAGCATTGGAAATGTTTCAGAAAATCTTTTTTTTTCTCCTTGAAGGACATTATCAAGTGATATCCCTATTAAGCATGATTTTAGCTATTTAAAAAAAAAGCAGGAGATGTAAAGTTAGTAATTAACAACGGTATTGTAATCAGCTGTCATCCATGTGGGCTTAATAAGCTTGCTGGGAAATGTCTGTTTGAACAGACAAGGACCTGAAGCTGTAAACTCTCATTATTGACCATAAACAGGGATGTCAGATGGTGATTAGTTTTCCTCTAATGAAGTAGCACAGCTTGTTTAGACATGTACAAGCTGTTTAGTGGTCATTGCACCTAGGCTCTGTATCATTGCTAGCTTTCATTAAAAGACTTTTGCTCCAAAAAGGATCAATATCAGGTACTTAATGAAATAACTTGTATGTTTTCACCATGTTATCAATAGTCCTTGATTCAATAATATCAAAGAAAAGGTTTAACCAACAGAAGAGAGAAGATTTTGTACTTCACCGGAACACTTATAATGACAACCAAATCAAGTGTGATTAAGCTATTTATCAACGGAGTGCTTTAATTACCACTTTTGTATGAAGTCTCTCTAGCTTTGGATCCCATTTCAACTGTTTTTAAAACATGCCATTATTTAGCATGGAGGAACAAATGTAGTATTACCTGACTGACATGGTCAATAAAATTAGAAGAATAGAAGTTTTGAAGGCATTTCTGTACATTTTCTTTATATGTTGATATGTCATTTTATATTGTTGTCTGGAAGCTTCTTACATGTTAGATCATGGAATTACGCACATGGATTTGCCAAGTATGGTCCCAAAGAATCTTTAAAATGGAAAAAAAATCTTTTATAATACTTGATTTGTTTCTTCCCTTTATACATGTCAGTATAAGCATTCTGATATTGTATACAGGGTTATTTTCACCCTTTCACACTTGCAAAGAATTTTGCCTGGTTTTAAATTTGCCTAGTCACAGTTTTGTTTAAGAAATTATACTTTTTTCTTTGAATTCGCCCCACTTGTGTCTAGGGCGAAAGGCGCAAAAATAAAACGGGGGCAAAAATTTTCCCTGTATACAATAATTAGAATTGTTAGCCAAGTGTTGTGATACATCATAAGCATTAAAACTGCAGTATACCATACATTAGCTAGGAGATACAGTGTTAAAACAGTTGTAATGTCCATGTATTCCTTTGTCATACATCATGTAGATGTTTATCAGTTGTTTCTGCCACAGTATTAATTCAGTAACTTGTAAGTCCAGTGTATCCCATTGTTCTAAGTCTTGTTGATGTTTATCAGTTGTTTCTTCACTGTCGTTGTCTAGATGTCTGTGAAACGCATGTTCACTGCAAACATGCATTGTACAAATGCCAGGATATTATGCATTTCTCATGCATGTATCATTACTGAACTTATTTTTATAGATAAGAAACAAACATGTACTTAGAGCAATAATATGTTTTTAAGTTAAGGCTTGATTCCTAAATAAAAAAAAAAAAGATGGCTTTTAGTTTACTTGGAGGAAAAATGTTTAATACAGATATTCTTGTGTATTTGTGCAGATCAAATTGCAGATTTTTATCAAACTTTCACTGACCACTTTATAAAGTCTACCTAAAGATGAAACTTTTGATTACTAATGCACTCAAGCAATCTTGTCAACCTAAAATAGGAAGAAGTTTTTACACACTTTACTTAAATTTTTCTCTCCTATATCACTGTATCCTTGTCATGTTGGACATCCAGGTGGAGATTGGTAGAATACTACCAAGTGCACTGGCATCAGATGAGCTTCTGACCTTCAGTGATAGCCAGGGTTGATGACCTCAGTTCTTAGGCTTCTCATGCTGAGAATAAAATAAACCTTTTTTTTTGTCTGCCATTTCTGGGCAGGTTGTTTGTAATAAATTGAATTCATCTTTACTAGGAGTGAAACGGTTCACCGCGGTATCGATTCACCGCGGTATTTTTTCTCGGTTTGATACACGGTGCAAAATCTCTAATTTTCGGTTCGGTTCATTTTTCGGTCGGGATCGCTATTCAGTCGGGTTTGGCACAAGGTAAAACACATTACTCAGTATAAATAAGTATAGAAAACGTAAATTTTTGATGATTGATAGTTTGTAAAATAATTTTTGACAGTCAAATAATTTTAATCAATTTTTTCTAGTCAATTTGCAAATAAAATTCGTAAAATATGTGACTAGATTAAGAAAAAGAAAGCATAAAACAACGTTGAATTTGTTTCCTTCTATCAAAATGTATCGTATCGAAAATAACCGAACCGAGACAAAATTATACAATACGTATCGAACCGTGAAGGAGGTGTATCGTTTCACCCCTAATCTTTACTAGATTGATTTTACCTGATAACAATCCATCTCTTAATTTAGTATTTATTAAGTTGATAACTGATGCTGTGTGAGATGTAGTTTAACAATTTTACTGCTGTAATACTGATATAGTTATGATCTTTACCAGTGCCTCAGGAAAACATACTGCATACTTTAACTTCCTTAATTAGACTTGAACGAGCGTACTGTTGACTTAAACTGCCCCGGCCTTTTTTGAAATGAATTAAAACAAACATACTAGTCATCCTTAATACATCTTAATGGTATGACAGTACATGTTTATATAATTAGAAAACTTGGTCAGTTATTGGGTGCACATCTCAATCTCATACATGTAGACATTCTACTACGTATTGTGTTGTTAATGAAGACCGGATTATAGAGTTACAGATCAGTCTTCGGTCATCAGTACCGCACCAATTGTACATAGTGCACTGCAGATTCTGGCTCTCTGCAGCTGTCGACAGTGACGTGATGCATTGTGTGGGCGGCTATTGTGTGCCAAGAGCAGCTTTTAATGGCCTACCAGTTTTCCTGTATTTGAATCAATTGGTGGTGTATTTTGATCATGTAATATTTATACCCTACCTGAGAGTATCAGAGAGTAGTGCAGTGTTGATTATAGTGCCATTACTAGTCTGTATGACATTTATCAAATACCCAAGGAGTCCCAGTATGAATTGATTTATTGCTTAGTATACAACTACAAGGCCATGCAATGCTTATAACTTTAAAATACAACACATATAGGGTATTGTTTTTGGTTTGTTTGTTTTTTTCTATGGAATATAGTAAAAATAGTATTGTTCATTACAAGCAGATGTTATTATATTACACACAGAATAGTTGCTGTATTGATTCACCTGTAAAAAATATTGTTAATCAAATATAAATTTTAGATGCTATAGCTACAAATAAATTATGGTCTTGATATACCTGGGGGTGTGCGAGCTTCTGGAAAATTAGGTCACTAGATATTTTCTTTCCCTGATAGGAAAAAGAAATTTATCCAAATATCAACATCCTTATATTTCCTGATTTATACAGTTCGTGTATTTTGTTTGTATTTAATTTCATAGATATTGTAAAAATGGTTTTAGCACTTTAAATTCGTTCTTGACTCAACATTTTTACTTTATAAGGTTAAACACATGCTATTTCAAAATGCAGACCTGCCAAGTACCCTTCTGATTTTGGTGTATTTCTTCAGCTCTTTATCACTAAATTACACTATTACGTCATCTAAACCAATTTTATGCTTTTAAAATGTCCTGCTTAAATTTGTGTTATTTATAAATGGTTCTTTTTAATGTAGGACTTACATTTGAATTTAAGAACTGCATATTAAATCTTTGTTTTAAGGGAGCTTCAGTTCTTAAGAGCCAAATACAGAAAACGATAGCGTCCAAACTTGTACATGCTGCACATGCCAAAAATTTGGAAGAAAAAACAGATGCAAATACATCATTTACTGAAACGATTATAAAGAAACGTGCTATTAATACCACCAAAATATTAAAATAGTTGTGATGTGCAAGCTCTTGACCAAATACATCATTTAGAATGGAGTTATCATAAGTTTAAGATATGTTGGAATGTTAGAACACCGATGTGAGCAGAAAATAGACGATTGATGCTAATTAATAAATGCTACGAAAATATTTTTACGTCCTTCATTATGTGAAATATGACATACAGTCTGATTTAGATTATACAGAATCACAGTGAGACCGAAATAGAAAAGTACGAAGAATTACACCCATAACTCTGAAATTCCATCAAAATGAGGATTTAGATTATACCTCTGACAGAAGTAAAAAGGGTAGGCAGGTCTGAAACTGCATGCTTACAATTCCTAGGTTATATCAGCCTATTGGAGAAATACAAGTACTGGTACTGAAAATAAGATGAATGGTTTAAAAGAACCATGTACATGCAGAAATTAGAAAAACATGCAGAACTTCATTATTATATAGTATTTTGTAGTGTTTTAATATACTAGTTTGTTAAAACATACTTCATCAAAATTTAAATACATGTATAGGCAAATATTGTACACTATTTTTAAACATTAATTCAGAAAGAACTAACAGGAATGTGTATATAACAGTAATAATACTGATTTGTAGAAGCTGCAACGAGTGAAGATATAAAAGAGCTGTCCAATGCCAAGAACCTAATTGCTCATCTCTACTCAACAATGAATGTAGAACAGCATCAGATAGAGAAGGAGAAAGAACTCCTGCAGAAACTAGAAAACCTCAAACTAGAGTTACTTCCCATGGAAAAAGTACGTGAATTAATTAAATGTAGCTTAACTATTTTAAATTTTAGAAAATAGTGATATTCTATTCAATAATGTTGCATGAAAGTAGAAACAGTTTTTGAGATATATCTAAAAAAGTTTTAGATCAAATTGAATTTAAATAACTTTGTAACACTTATTTGCAGAAAATGGATACACTAAATGCCATGGCAAAACGACGAACAGAGTTTTTGTCATGGGCAGGCCTGGCTGCTATGGGGATACAGTTTGGGTTCCTTGCTAGACTGACTTGGTGGGACTATTCCTGGGATATTATGGAACCTGTCACTTACTTTGTGACCTATGGAACAACTATGGCCATGTTTGCATACTTTGTTCTCACGAAACAGGTAATTTACAAAGGATCAATGATTCTGCTCATACTAATATGCTAGTATTTCTCTAGTTTGGAAATGTATAGCATGATTCATGGGGCTAGATTGGGGCCACATTAGGGGAGCAAAGTTTTGCGTAGAAATATTTTAACTGCTGCAAGAAAAATGCAACAATTTGTAGACTTGACAATCCTAGATATTTATTAATTAGAATTTTTGAAATCATGGAATTTATGTTGATGGTTTTGTTTATCAACATACTGTATAAGCAGAATTTTTAGCAAGGATTCAATTTTGGCATTATTAGCGAGGGTTTTGAGATTGCATAAATTGAATATCGCTAACAATTTATACCGTATCGGTTGTTATAGCTATCTTTCTTGACAAAAAATCGCCAAATTTGCATCTCACTAAAAATTCCACTTATACAGTATTTAGAATGATTACTCAGGTGAATGTTGAAGCCCATGAGCCTCTCACTACTACTATTAATTTAGTGTAAATTACCGTAACTACATGTACTTCATATAATGGTTTTGATAAAAAGGAATTTTCTTGATATTGGAGGAAAATTTCAAGTCATAATCTTTGAAAAACTTACAAAAATCTATTGTAATTATTGGTCATCATAAACATCACCTGATACAGAAGGTCTGCTTGTAGGAGTACAACTTTGTGGAAGTAAAAGATAGACAACATTTGCTCTCTGTGCATGGCAATGCAAAGAAAACTGGACTGGATGTAGCTAAATATAACGAGTTGAAAGAGGCCACTGCCAAACTGGAGTATGACATCAAACGGCTTAGGGACCCTTTACAGCTCCACGTTCCAATGATGGATCCACCCAAAACACTGAAGTGAACGCTCTAGATCAGAGTATCATGGCATTAACCAAATAGAAGTTTGCATTGGTTAGGTTGGGTTAGGATTTAGTCTGTTCAATTAATGTAGGTGTATACACTGTTAATGTGATATTAATACTTTTAATCTTTCTTCCTTTCCTTCTATAAACTTGTAGATTTTTCAAGATCTGTGAGATTTGAACAATTTTTTTAGACCTTACAAAAAATTCAGATTATTTTGATAAGTTGATTCTGTGCTCGCCATATCCTTTTACTGAACAGAACTAAACCCTGCTGCATTGTATACCATCAGAAAGTAATAATTCATTTTTTGAGCTCTTAAGTGTTGAAAAAAGTAGATGCAGCAAATCAAGGTGAACAGTGTCAACCATTTTGTTATATTTTTTGTGGACCTTGATTTTTCAAGGTTATTAAAGTTAGTGAGCAGAACAGAAAAATGTCAAATCTAATACTTCAATCAAGAAAAAAATGATGAGAGTTAACAAACCAAAACTTGAATGTAAGAGATTGAAGATGATGTTTGGTCAGTACGAAGTAATAGTGTTCAGTTTGGTATTGCAGCAGCTGTGCAGATTATTGTTCACCAGTCACTTAATGGCCAGTTCTAAAACTCAAAATGAGAACAGAGACATTGGTAAGAATTAGATTATGCCCGCTGAATGAAGACAATCTTGATGCCGAACAATTTGTGCCCCATCAGTTTTCGTGAAGTTTTCGCCCTCCACTGATGGCCCCTGATTGTGTTATAGTTTACTGTTGTCAACAGTGATTCACTGCCTACCACCAATAACTTGACCTTCTTAGATTTTCATATTCATTGAGGGAGCTCCAGCAACACATTATATTGCAAGACATCACTTAAATAATGTGGAAGGGTTAGAAGATCAATTGACTGAAAAATCTGGAGAAACTCTTAATTGTTTAATTTGTACATTGAAGAATGGAATTATTTAAATAATAACCATGCCCATGTTTTGATTCACTGCATTTAACACCAGCCACTGAATTTCATAAATTTTACTTTCAGTTTGTTTCTTGAATATTTGATTCACTGAAATTTTCTCAGCCTCTTATACATGTATTGCTTATAATGCTTAAAAACATTAAGGAATTCCTACTTAGATGCTACTTTAAATCTATACATTAAAGATTTGACTAAGGTTATTAGATGGAAAAATTTTCTCCACATTTTAAATCTCTGTATTTCTTGAGTAAGTTTTAATATACATGTATATATTGATGTATGTCACAAATGAATTGTACAGTTGCAAGTGAAGTTATGTAAGAGTTCACTTTATTTATTTCCAATGATATATATAACCTTTTCTATGATATAGTGCTATCCATATATCATAAAAAGTTTACTCCATGCTTCCATTTTTTTTTTTGCTATACATTGTATGTAAATTAAGATGTGTGTACTTACTGCTGTAAGGGTACAAATTCAAAATTTTATTATATTTTGTAATCAATTATTTATCAATTATTTAGGTAGGTGATCTGGGATATACATGTTTATATATATAGTTTAAGAAATGTTATCTCTCAAAGCTGTTTTCAAATGAGCACAGATTAATTTGTGTTTGGTTATTTCTACATTTGTAAAGTTGTAACTTGGTTTACCTCTAGGAGTACATATCATAATATCATACTGTTGAAGTGTTATGTTGCATGAGTCATTAAAAGTGGCCCAGGTTTAAAGATATTGTATTTCTCGGAAGTGAAAAGTATGTTAAGTTAGTGGACAGTGGTTGGAGTTCAGCATTGTGGTTTTGTAAAGTATGTAACATGCACAAATACCAATTTCACACGAATCTGCACAATAGTGAATGAATTCTACACAATGTGATATAAACTCAGATATTTTTCTACACCCCTTTACCTCCTCTCCCAATAGATGATGTATATCTTAGATCCTCCCTAGGGGAGAGTCCCTATCGCTTGATTGTATTTTTTCCTTGTTATGCAATACATAGGACTTACCCGGTTTATTTTTAGCTCTGTTAAAGCTTCTCTTCTAGTAGACCAAGACCATTTGTTATTATTTATTTCTGTTTGTCTCACATGTTGGGATGATCTGTTTTCACCCCAATAAGTACCACCTGCACAACAACTTAGGGTAAAAAATTACATGTTTTTATCTTAAATACCTGAACTTTTAATAAATTAACAACATTGATAAAGATTACAGTTAAGCATTTTAGTCAGAGATCATTTACCTTGACAACATACTGTACTTTGAGAAAAAAAGGGGGTAAATATGAGATGCAAATGTCTAAAAGTTTTTAAACCTGAACCTTGTTGACTCCCATTAATTTTTTTAACATATTTTGGGCTTTTGATATGAAAAATGAACATTTATTCTATTCAGATGATTGGATGTAGAGGCTAGGGAAGTTATTGGTACAGGGATGTTATTGGGGTGAAAACAGTACTTGTGATAATCATTTTTTTAATTTTCGTTAGATATTTATGCACCTGATCCCTATGGTGATGTTTTGACAGTATCCTGGGATAATTATAGAAAGGTTCCTTTATATATACACTAGTGTCTCTATTATTTGTCCTCCATGTGTTAGTATCAGTTATGACTTTTTATATTAAAAATTTTGAACAATGATTCTTTGTTTTGATTAATTTAATTACAATCCAATAATCACCCGTGGTGCTTTGGTAATTGGAACAAACATGTATTATTTCCGTACAGTGAGGTTGAAACATGTTGTTTTTGCCATGCCTGTCTGTCGGTCTTGAGTCTTGTATAGGTGAAGGACATACACAATGTAGTTTGAACTTTATTGTCTTTTTCCCTGGAGTTGAAGAGTTCCAATACTTAAAGGAACTGTGTGCTACATTTTAATGTCTATATATGTTGTTGTACACTTCTTCTAAAACAAATTTGGATAAACAAAACATCTAGAATATATGTTTAGTAATTTTTGAATATTTTTCTTTGAAGTATACAAGAATTTTCATCAATTGATATCTTTTCAAAACCTCTGGTAACGCATGCTGATTTTTTGTCTATGAACATCTGATGGCACTATTATATTAAATTAAGAATATCTTGAAAAATTATCAGTAGGTAAGGTATGTTGCGTATGTCCTTAATAGGGCATATCTTTAGAACCCTTGCCCGATTTCATTTCAGCATTTGGTACATTGTTGCCTATGAGCAAAGAGTATGAATATTATGTTCATGTGTACTATGGTTAATCATATTATAAAGGTCAAGGTAATTCAGGTTGAGATGTAAAAATTTTGTCTTGGCCATAGCTTTAAAATCTTTTGATTACCGGTAAAATGAGTTAAATCCATAATTTATTGTTATACATGCTCTTAATTAAAGTGTATCCCGATCTTGATTCAAAGTCATATTTCAAAATATTACACTGGATTGCTAATTTTCTTTTAATTGGAATTCCAAATATTAATTTTTAAGAAAATATTATCAATTCCCTATATTAAATGTGAAATCTTTATAGATTCACTATGAAAGATGTAAATATCGAATTTTGTTATCTTTTATGGGACAATCATCAGGGTAACTCAGTCAGTAGAGTGGTCACTGTGTGATCGGGGTAGGTCGTGGGTTCATATCCTGGTTGCGATTGACCTAGATAAATAAAAGATAGGTAGCAACTGTTCCTTCGCAAAGCGCTCTGCACTTTGAAGTGAAAGTTGAAGGTCTTTGGGATGAGACCTCAAAACTGAGGCCCCGTGTTGGAGCAAACATTGGCATGATAAGATCCCTCACTGTTCATTGACCCTGAGTGCAAGTCAAGGTCTAAATTTGAAGCCCTTCACTGGTATATGGTTACATCTCTAGATATGATTGAAACATTCTTGAATGGGACATAAAACGACATACAATCATTCAATATACAGGACAGCAAATCTGTTTGCTGTGTATGTAAATCTGTTATTTGTTGTTTATTATGGTTGATTCATTTATTTTACTGAATAATTTATTTGATTGATAATGTGTTTTTAAAGTTGACAGTTTAGCATATCTAGTAGAAAATGGGTGTATGGAGCCATAAAAAAGTCTCCATTCTACAAAAAATGTTTAAATGACGGGAAAATTAATGTAAAATCTATTTTTATGTATAAAAGAAATGGAGTCTGAACCCATTACATATAAAAATAGAACATTTCTGAAATCATAAAATGCTTCAACAAACTTGTTTAAGAACACCGACACACTCCAATGATAGCATAGTGGTTAACATGTTCAACATTACGGTTTACCGGGAGGGGGGATTGTATTCACCTCGTACTCCTCCATTCTTTTTAAATACAACACGTACTGCATGCATTTTGATACAGAAAACTTAAACTAACTCAGGTTTCTCAGCAAAATTGTAATTTATCATAATGATATCAAGTTTGAATTCTTTTCATTTGTAATTCTAAAGGATGAAAAAATAATTCTCAATCATTGTACAATATTGTAGGTTTGGGCTATATTGACCATGGATATTGGCATGGGACAGGCAGGGTCAGTGTTTAGAGTACTTGACTAGCAATGCAGGGTCCCAGATTTTATTTCCAGCCATGCCATAATTAAATAATTTTCTCCTGTCCTATTTTATTTGGTGCCATTGTACACATCTAGACTTGCAGGTGGAAGTCCTGTCGTGGACTAAAAAAATCTTGCTGTTGTGCCTTTGAGGGCCGAAACAATTTAAGGAGGGAGAAATGTGATGGTTTGAGCTATATATAGATTGTGGATAGAGGACTGAATAGCTCTATGGTTAGAGCACCTGATTTGTAATGCAGAGATTTCAGGCTTGAATCCCAGTCCAAATGTACAGTTTTAAATCAAGTTGTACAATTGCTATGTTATTAGAAGGGACATAACTCTTAATCTGAGAGTGGACAATCATGCAGTCTTAAAAAAAGTTAAAAAAAAAAAAAAAATCACCTTACGTCTAGTTTTATGGAAGGTAAGCATATGATTGTATTGTAGCAAATGCCATTACATTTGACCTTATCTGAAAAGTTCACAAAGATTTAATGTGAAATCACTAATTTTTGTTGGGGTTTAATTTTCGTGGTTTTCGAGGTATGAAGAGACCCAAGAATTCAGGTCCAACACAAAATGTAAAATTTCATATACAAAACTACTCAATACATCTCCAACCACGAAATCAAATCCCCTCAAACTAATATTTTTTCCTTAAACCTCGAAAATTTGACCCCATGAAAATGTGATTTTACAGTAAATGAAAAAATTTGACAATAAAAAGACTTGCAGTTATTTTTTACTTCCAGCTGGTTTTTAATGCCACTGTAATCTATATTTATGTCAGTTGTCAACAGTCACCACGAAACTTTTTATATATGTATACCTGTAGTATACAGTATCATAAATACCCGATTTTTATTCATTCTGACAACTTATTATTTCAGTACTATTTTAATCCTCCGATAACAGAAATGGCTTCAAATCATACCTCTAATTATGGCCATGTTATTAAAATGCACTCTCTGTCCCTTTTTTCTAAATTATAATGCGGCTTTATTCAGAAAGTGTCAAGCATGACCCATTCATATAAAAACTTCCTCTCTTACTGAAACAAAATCATAAGCAGCATTGCTCAAAAAGTTTTGGACATCTTCCATACCCTTAACTTAAAGGCTAATAAATATCCATGAATCTCATTGCTTCATACCTTTTTCCAATTGAAAAAAAGAAGCAAAGTATAATTTCCAATTTTGTCCATTTTAATTTCATTCATAAAACAAAGAATTAAAAGAGCAAAACATTTTACATGTATTTGAAACTGTAAAAACACTTGAACAAGGCTATACATGTATGACATACACTGCACATTCTACCAATGGTTTCTGATGCCAGATTATCACTCAACAATTAACCATGCTCTCTACTTTCTAAATACAAAAGCTTATTTACAAATAACAAAGGCAGACTCATAGATAATCGGATTCTGATACGATTTTCCCAGAAATTGATTTCATTAAGACAAACTTGAGATGTATATATTAAGCTACATGTAGTATATATCTTGGTAAAATGATTTTTATTCTGTATTCAATACAAACAAAAATAATTTATCAAGTGTATCAAATAGTGACATCTTGAAGCCCATTTTGCACATCACAATTTTAAATGTTTTTGTTAACATAAGGTTTATACTGTTAAGTATTAAATAAACATGGACAAGTATTTACAATGTTTGTGAACCAAGCTGTGAACATTCTATATACAAACTACTGAAATACAGCTATAAGTAATCCATTTAATTTTTCTAACAGAAGTATCTTTCATTTTTAGAACAGGGAGGGTTCATTTGCAGAATATCCCTTTCAGGTGAATGTACAGAGAATATATGTTTCATAGCTATAAATTATATTTTTGAATAAAAGTCATATGCTTTACGGCAATCAGTTTTCTTGCTTCTTCTAAACCAGAATTCATTTTCTTACTACATGTACTATTATCTAGAGATGATCAGTACATAACAGGATTTCTCTACATGAAAATAAAACATATTTCTACATGGAACAGATAATTTATCTTTCTAGGTTTATGAGAAATTGCACCAAAAATATAAAGAAAAAAATATGGAGAGAAAAAAAACCTTCACCTATTTTGAATATGAAAAGAATATTAAAGTTTTCTTTCATTGCTGCTCTTTAGAGGTTTTAAATATCAAAGTGACAGTCCTACATTAAACACCAAGGAAAGCACCTCCTGACTAGCTTACTAAACGGCAAATGATCACATTTTTTCCAAAATCAATCTAGAACTTTTTTGACATTTTTGTGAATTTTGACCTAGTTTGTCAGTTGTACAAAAGTAACAAACATACACCAACTGAACCCATTTAATCAACACTCTCGTACATATTTTAATGACGTATGATATCTATGCAATACACATACTATGCTTTTAATGCAAAAATGCCAATAAATATGTCTTCTAATCATATTTTTGTAACTTGAATAAAGGCTGGACATTTGAGTAATTTCTGATGACTTGGCATTGACTTCTGTCACAAAATGTCCAGTGCCTTTTCTCCCGAATGATGACCAACATAGAAACAGTTTATACCCAGAGCCCATACTAGTTCACTAAGCTGGTAATGATATCTTCTTTCCTTTCAGCACTGAAAAATAAGAATAAAAATAGGCTCTCAGTATCATATGCATGTGGAGTTTAAACATGAATTTTTTGTAACCTTCCTTTCAGTTTACATGGTCTTGAGAGGTGTATGAAAAACCTGAAATTCTACTTTATAAGCATTCCATATAGGAAAAGAAACTGATCATGCTGAGAAACTGAAGCCATTTCATGTACCAGGTACAATAAGTATACACAGTCTCATAAGATAGCAAGTTTAAATATATCTTATGGAGAGTCTTCATGAAATAATCTGGGAATAATATTTGAGTGAAGAGATATAGCAGAAAGTAGATACACTATACTAATTAAGGAAAATGCAGGTCTGTCTTGTTCTAAAATTATTTCTACTAAAGAAAGTGTCCTGTTGGTCTGTATATCCATTGAACCGATTTTTTTTTTTTGGACATATAAAAGTTTTTTATTAGGCATAAAAATTGTGTGTATGTATCACCAAAGTTGTTCTAGTTCAAAAAATAAACAAATAAAAGAAAATGGAAATAGAAAAAAAATTCCCACACCATTTTATGCTCTTAACATCTGCTTTACATTCTTAGAAATGGAAGGTATAATATTATGTAAGATATTCACACGATTTCTTTGTGCATCTTGAAAGCTTTGGGTTAAATAAGTAGCCTAGTCTAATCGTACATTGTTTTTTTTCACACTGAATGTAAACCAGCTGTTTTTAAATCATGCACGAGAGGTCCATCATAAGCTATACACACAAGAAATGGTGTGAGTACCTGTTCTACACATCCAACAGGGGGGCGGAGTCCTTGAATACGATCTCATTATTTGTAAACAGAAGGGAGCCCTTTCCTGAAAGTCACAAAAGTACTTTACCTACCTTTATACATAGATAAAAACCCTAGTACTATGTCACTTTCTTGCATAATTTTGTGTACATTAATACCATCATAAGACTTTAATTTGATTATTTTTTAATGATATTTTCCACTGTGTAAACAAAACCATTTATATATTTGAGGATTTAAGTATAAACATGGGATAATAAATCTCAGGTAAGCAAAGCAGAAATATGTATTTTTTTAACATTTCTGAATATTTCATAGAACATGCATTGCTAGCATTTCAAGCTACATAAGGGCCTTGTGTAAGCATGAACACATTACACAAAGTATTGTCTATAGATCAGAAGAACATGGTCACTAAGGAGAATTTTCTCTCGGAGGATTACCTACCCTTAGTTATATACAAGTAGAAGAAATCACAATATAATATGGTCTGCACAACCCCAGCTACCACAGCAATAAGGTCAAAGAATCCCTCAAAATAGTATCTGTAAATCCAATTCAGGAGGTAGAGAGCCCGATACGAGCCGAGGGCGAACAGATAGTGGCTAGTGATGGTTTCCGCTTCACCGGTCTTGCTGACCATGAACAGTTGGGGAAGGATGGCCACAGATTCCAGGTAGATGGAGAAAGTCCACAAGATCTACAATGTAGCCAAGATTGTTAGAATATTTTAATCAATATAAAAAACAGTCAAGATTCCATTTTTAATGTACAGTTTGTTACAGATAAGTTTAATATGATCTCACTGTAGTTTCTCAAATCTTCAATCACTGCAATATTCTCACTATGTAAAAATATATATATATAAAAACTAAAACCAGTGGCCTATTTTGTATGTTGCACTGCTTATATTTTTTTTTGGCATTAACATCTTCTTTAACTTTTAGGATATAATAATGCACTTAAAAATACTTAAACAGCTGCAAATGTTAATCAATCATACATAAGGTTAAATGCATTACTCATTGATGTTATATTGAAATGTTAAATTACACATTCAGAATGAGTTAACAAATCACTGTACCTCTAAGGGAGCAAACTCATGGTTGACAAGGAAGGCCAGACCTCCAACTGGTACAACTAGGAACTCAACACGGAAAGTATCATGGTTACTGTCGTATGTGGCCTTGAACTTGTGGAACATCAGGAACAAAGTGAAGTAGGAAGCAGCAATGAAGAAAACCTTCATACATGTGTTATAGACTGATACAAATGATGTAAATAGATCTAGGTATCTTGTGGTGAATACTAAGGCAAACAAAATCTGACTTTTTCCTGATATTCCTATAATGAAAAAATAAATAAATCAATGTCAGAAAAACCATGATATAGGAAATTAATACAGGCTCTTTCATGAGAATACTTGTCTGGTTTAATACGAGTGCAGCAAGTGGCATGAAGCACAGTTTGCACTAGGAGCTCTCTGGACAATACCTGGACAAAGGGAAAATTCAGACTCTCTGCACATTCTTTCAGCAGAATTTTTTTCCAGTGTAAACTTGGAATCCGAAATCTCCCATAAATTGCATATGGCTGTGCAAACTATGTTTTCACATTAACCAATCAAAAGTTAACCAAAAAAAAAAAAAAAAAAAAAAAAAAATTGGCAATACCTTGCTTCAATGGAAATTGCAGATAGATACAGCTCCTTAAATCCTCCTTGTTAAAATTTTGCACTTTTTAGACTGTGTGAAATGGAAATGCTTCTTACTTGCTATGTGACAATGAGTATGTCTTAAACATGTGCAGTTTGAAGATGCAGATCTAAGTTCAAAGTGTATATGAAAGTTTTTTGATGATATCTACAAATAATTTAATTTTGTTTGTATTCTAGCCTCTGATTGGTTAATATCCAAAAAGGAACACAAATTATTTCTGTATAACCTGGTTTGGTATGGGGACACACCCCCCTGACAACCAGCTGAATCATCTGTATGCATACAATCCTCTCATTTCCAGTCCTCGGGATTCATGGAAAATTCCAGATTTAATAAATATACCTTTAACTTCAAACAATAATTCGATCTTACCACATGTAAACAAGCTGCTAGGCCTATGTATCAGTTTTTACCTCCCCTCGCTTCCCATCACTTCCGTTACTACGGTTGTATTATTGAGCGGCAAATTTGAAGCAATAAAAAGCAACGAAATTTTACACCCATATTTATTTAATGATTTTAAAATTAAATTATAAGGAATGACTCTAATTCTTGGCCAAATTATTCGAGTATAACCTGGTTTGGGTCAGTTTACGCTGTTTTATAATCCGCTTCGCGGATTATAAAGCGTAAACTGACCCAAACCAGGTTATACTCGAATAATTTGGCCAAGAATTAGAGTCATTCCTAAATAATACAAAACTGCGCTCACCCCAATGACTGTATCGTCAAACATATTATATTTATAAATAGTATAGAGCAAAAACACATCTTTACACCTTAAATGAATAACTTGGAGATTAAAATATGCAACAATTTCCCCCTTTATGGTGAACACATTTGACTTTTTAATATATATTTTCCCTACAATCAATACACACGACAGGAGTTGTTTTTCTGTACAGGTGATTTTGTAGTCGATATTGGAAAAAAATCTGTTCATTAAGCCCTCCAGTCTAACAGATTGCATCAAAAACAGTGTCAGGCAAATTTAATACACTTTGCTGTCGGTTTTTTCAAAAACCCTTTGGAAAGGTCACATTATACCCAATCAGCAAATTAAATACTGTAGTGTGTAGTGTTGAACTGTAATTTTTAAAACAAATATGGGAGCACTTCAAAAGTCGTGAATATCCCTTGCAAACTGTGCATACTTCTAACGTTCATAATGCTAACCTAAACAACGAGTTAACGAGCAACTAACAATGCAAAGAGATAATGTTTAACATTTAAACCCCATATTGTATCCTTCTGTCACACATTTCAAGAGAAGTCAGGCAGCGCCAGTCTAACATTTTGGACGCCTAAAGAAACAACTCACCTGCGACGGAACGAGTTTTCCACATCTTAATCAGCAATATAACTATTGCCAATAAATGGGACATATCCCCGATTAACCTGAAAATATTCATTTTGGGGGAATATCTGTCAGTCGCCGGTATGTGTGTTTACACGTTTCAAGAACTATGGCGAATGCGACGTGGCCCGAACTGCTTTGTGGGTAATTTGGAGCAAACCGATCCCGATTCATAAACTTCCGGGTGTTACGTGGAGCTAACAGGGATGCAGAGACGTGTACTTTCAAGCAGAGAAAGGCTGACGCTGTTTGAAATAAAATATTAAAAAAAATATTCATGAAAAAAACGTTAAGACTGGTGAATATGTTGTCTTATGAATGGTTATTGAATGTGGAAAATGTTTGAATAAAATTGTACGTGTTATTACAGCCTCTGGCAAAGCAGTGACCTAATTATCAAAGAAAAAAATCATTAACACCATTCGATATGTTTAAATCTTAGTATAAGAGAAAATCGTGTAAATGTCTCCAAGTAACACATAATTTAACATACCAGAGAAATAAGCAATAGATACATTTGATTAGACCTAAGTAGAAAATTATAAATCTGAAATTATCAAATAGTATGAGATTCTGTTACTTAGAAATCTATACATTCTAAGATTTAAATATATCAATTAAATTGGCCATTAATTCATAAAAAACGTTTAAAATTCTTAAATTGAAAAAAAGTGTATATTTATTGCGAAGAATTGCACTGTTTCTTGATTTTTAAGCTACCATCTCAAAAATTTTTCAGACCAGCGAGCTACAGTTCCGCAGCGAGAGGTTTGGAAAAAACCTTAAAGAGATAACTTTCACTTGACAATTATTCCTATATAAAAATTTCACGTGAAAAGGTCATTTCTGTTAAATTTTACTCACCTGAGTAATCTTAGCTCTGTTGTTCTTATTAAGATTTTTTTTTTGAAAAGATAACTTAATTTGTTATTCCCTTGAAGAATTTTAACTGTAAAGGGTCTCTGAATCCACACAACAGTCATGTGATTGCTTTTTATATTAATATGGCTATGCTGTTGTGCAGAAGTTTTTTTCTTGTATGCATGCATTATGCAAAATTTAGCCTTACGTCAACTTCATAGTTTGAGGGGAAAAAATTGAATCCAAGCGTGCAATTTGAGAATGTTTGCAAATTGATGATGCTATTGTAGTGCTTGAGAATAAGGATTTGCCCCATTATTTATCAAATAAAATGTTAACCCCTGCTATGACCCCACTCAAGATCCATGGGAATTGATTCAAACAAACATGAGTCTGCACTATCTGAGATTGCTCGCACATTCATGTAAAAAGTGAAGATAACGAATAGCGATCAATCTCATGAGTCCAGTAAACATGACGAGACGTTAACACTGCAAAGACACGGTCCCCTGGAAACACTTCAGGTGAGATAAGGTGCCGAGGAGGAGTAAGCATCCCCTGTCGACTGGTTATACCTGTCGTGAACCCTATGTTTTGCTCAGGTATGCAGAGTACTCTGCAGTCAAATTAAGTATAAAAGCAATGGTCTAACAATTGGTATGGAACATGTCAGTCAAGTTGTATCATCAACTTATTTGTCAGCAGTTTGCCTCGGTTTAAAAACTCAGACCATGCTCTTGCACATCGAATCAATTGGGAGATATAAACACCATATGTAGGTGATTTTGGAACAATACTACATAAATAAGGAAAATTGACGATGGAAAAGCTAAAGTCAAACAGCTAAAAAAAAGCTAAAACAGTTTGTCATACTGTTTAGTTATAAGTTGGTCATTATCGTAGAAGTTTTTGAATAAATTCTGCGTTAAGGAATATTAAATTAAACAGGTCGGCCAATAAAGGAGCACAGTTAGTACCCATCGAAATTCTAACAGATTGTCGGAAGACCTGGTCTCCAAAGACTACATAAATATTGTCAATGAGAAACTACAGCATCTTAATTTTTAATATCAACTTCAGCTAGAGTACTTGTTTGTAGAATCATAATGATATTTAACAAAGTAATTTTGCAAATGACCATCCACAAGATATAAAAATGTCGGAGTTCCATTTTTATTAAGGAATCTGTTGCCTATGATGTCAAAAAGCCTGCTCTTTCATTTATCACGAGGAATGGTTGAATAAAGCGTAGAAAAGTTTCATATTTTGATGCTATCGATGTTTAAAGAGTTTTGAGATTCTAAAATTTTCTTAAAGTTCTTTGAAGTTTTTTAGAATCCCCAATTGATTTACACCACTTAATTGTTGAACATGATGTAGCACAACACGTCTGAAGTTAGTAAAGCTGGGTATCGGCTGGGAATTTCGTATTGCGATATATTGCGATATTTTAAACTGTATTGCAATATTTTTAATAACAGTTAAAATGCTCTTTTCTTATTTTATTAACCTTTATTTGTAATCAGAGTGAATAAAACTACACGTGTGTTATAAATACGTTGTAACAAAAAAAGTTCTTGTCGATTTCACTTCAGTTTTGCAACAAAATACAACCATATGTAACAGCAACCTTATTGTTTGGCATGATTGAAAGCGTTTCTGGTATCTTAAAGGGGGAGTTTCGATAAGGCCGTTTTTCGGCCCCTCACGAAATTTTATGACATTTTGATATTTTGTAGAAAAACTTCTTATCTTCCTAAAAATATGAAAATAATTTATGTTATGCATTTTCCGGTCACGTGATAATTGAAAATTTAAGTATACCCCCATTTCGTATATTTTGGGAGTAGACATTTTCATAGGGGGAAAGTGGATTTTTTTAACCGTCAAAATCGTAAATGAAATAGGTTAAATATGAATAAAGACATAAATTAACCAATCTCAACAATTTTTTTTACGGAAAATGGTGTTTATCTTATGCGAATGTTTTTTTAAGGTGCGATATTTTTCTGATGTGTCAAATGTTACTTTTCTTTAAAAGAGGATGGATTAACTTATAAAACGTAACATATATAGAAAGTCTTAACATCATAATTAATCGACAGTTTATACATAAACTTTATAATCAATATTTAACATTTTCCCATACGAAAAATGCAAATGAAAAGATATGTAAACATGAGATAGGTGAATGTAAAAACGTCATATACAGGTATATGCACTAAATTTTCATCAATAAGGTTATACAACCTCATGTTTTATAAAAAATGTACCTTAATATCATAAAATTGAAATTAAATAACATGTTTTGAAATAAAAAGATTAAAAAATAAATGCAATTTTATATACATACATTAATAAAAAGTTTACTTAAAAGCATCATATTGCTAGGTAAGCCAGTACATTGTAGGTGCAAGGTAAGAAAAATATTTTATCTGGCGGTCGCCACATAATTATTCGGCGGCCGCTAGAAAAATATATTTGGCGGCGGCCAAATAGTTTTCCTGCGGCCACCACATAAATGACTCGCGGCGACCAGAAACTTATCTGTTGGCCGCAACATAAATAACTAGAATCCGACAAATAAGTTCCTTGCGGTGTAGACATGTAATCTAATAAAACAAATTTAAAGTTATGAGGTGAAGACATTATGAAGTGATTTTTTGTATGAAGTGTAGATTTCATCTTTGCTAATAAGGCTTGAAACTCCCGAGATTTGACTTCAAAGAGAAGTTGTAGATGTCGTTAAGATGGCTGGGGGGTTATGGCCATTTTCATACTATATTGATATCCTTTAGAAGAGCTCCATATAAAGATATACAAAAATGATAAAATTTTAAAACAAAAATGTATTAAATTTTTCTTTGCCAATAATAGTTGACAGCTTAAGATATCATATCTAAAAAAAAATAAGTTATATCTTATGGTTAATTTGTTGAACCCCCAGCCTCCTTAAAGGCAGAGATTTTAAGCACCGCCTTCAAAAATACTTGGTCTGTGTACCTCTGTCAATCAAGTGCATTAAGGTACATCATTGGGTGCTACAACTTGATTGTCAAAAACACTACAATTTTATCTGGAGGCCGCCAGATATTTCAATGGCAGGCGCTAGAAACTTATCTGGCGACCGACAGATAACATTTTTTTTTTTACCTTGCAGCTACTGGCTTCTGTATATTGCAATGTATTTGATAATATGAATAATATTGATTACAGTCAAAAATATTTTATCATGATACGTAATATGATGGAAAAATCTATAATACATTAAATATTCCTTCTCATTAAGAAACTTATATGTATTTGCCCACATAGATCTGCATTATGTTTTCAGCATAACTGAGAGAATCCCAGCCAGGACTTATTTCCTCTCGCTTCTCAAATCTCCATAGATACTTAAGTTTCTACACCATTTCTAGTCACTTCTCATTTAGAGAGTTCTAGAATTCATTATATATGATTTGCTAGAACAGAGCGCAGTTCGAAATACATGTGAAAACGCCAAAGATATGTGTTTAATCTGTAATCAAGCAGACATATGATCCTATAGACATCCAGACTTAAAACAAGCCACGTTTCCTATAACCACACATAAATATATGGGCGCCTCTCTAGCATGGTGGAGCGTGGATTTCTATTTACAAGAAAGTCAAAAATATAACTATGCATGATAAATAACGTTAAGGAATGGACTTGCTCTAAAACTTATTTTTTGTTCAGTCAGTCGGAAAATGTAAGAAAGATCCAGCATCTGAACTATGTCTGGTAATGTGCAATCCTAGATGCATCATCAATGCAAGTTTGGTCACGATAGGGCCAATGGTTACATAAGAATGAGACCCGCTTCAAAATCTTTAACCTGCTCACTCATTAATGAAATGCAGGTCATATCCAGCATGTGAAGCAATATAGTAGTGTGCATCATAAAGCAAGTCTGGTCAACAAGTGCTTACAGCTGCTCTGCTCCAAAAACTTAAACCTGCTTTTAAAACATTTACCTGGACATTCTTTGGCTAAAAATCCAGCATCTGAAACCTGACTGGTGACAAGAAAACACGCTGGATCAGGTGACTCTGGTTAATATAGGGCATAGATATACTTGGAAAAAAATCTGCTTCAAAAACTTTTACCTGGAACACCAATGCCGACGGTATTACAAAAGCTCCAAAACTTCAAGGAGGTGAGCTAAAAATGTGACGTTAACGTTATACGTTGGCGACAAAAAAAAGTGTCGAAATGAAGATAGGATACGATAATGTTTTCTACTGTTAATATAATCGA